AAAAAGCAGAAACACAGAGAACAAACCAGACGACACCATGAGGAAAAATAATCAGAAAGACCCAGAATAGAGGATATTTTTACTGGCCTGATCTCTTTAAGACTAAAGAAACGTAACAAACAAATATAATATGTGAGCTTTACATCCTGGTTCTAAAACACCAGCCATGAAATACTTGGAGACAATTGGGAAATTTGAATTTGAACTGAGCATTAGATGATATCAGGGAGCCCTGGCTGATTTATTTAGGTGAGAAAATAATATTGTAGCTATGAGGAGAATGTCTTATTTTTGGGGAGACATATGCCAATGTATTTAGGGGTGAAGTGTTATGATAGCTGTCAATTACTTTCATAAAACTTCTTATTTGGAAATACCTTAAACTTTACAGAAAGTTTAAGTATAGTATAAAGAATAGTATAAAGAACCCCTGTATATCCTTTACCCAGACTTGCCAATTAATAACATTTGCAACTTACTTTCAAATGATTTACTCGTTTCATGCTTATAAACGTGTATACATACAGCATGAAATGGTAACAACTGTTGAATAAATATTGTAGGCATGTGAGCATTTATTGGAATATCCTTTCGGTGTTTTTGTGCATCTGAAAATTTTGTAGTTAAAGACTCAGTGACCTGTCTGGGGAGGAACCCTATTTCAGGTGTCATAAGATCTTCAGGATATATTGTCAAATGAACAAAGCTAGATGCAGAGCAGGATATGTGGTATGTTACTTTGTGTTTGAGAAGGGGTAAACATCAGGACTGATATTTGTATTTGCTTGTAAAGAGTCGGAAACACCAAGAGAAGACTGTGAGGGAGGATGAGGAGTGGAGCGGATGGGATGCAGGGGGAAGGAGACTGCTGAGTGTACACCATGCAGGTGAACTGTCTTTTAAAATAACATTTTTAAAATTAAAAATGAGTGAATGGGTAAGTGCAGAAGGAGTCAGCCAGGGAAAGGAGACAAAGAAAACCCAGTCAGAAAGGCAGAAGCAGCAGCCAGGAAGCCCCTTCCACGGGCTTCCCGTAGCAAGGTGGACAAAGAGCACGTGGTACATGCATGGTGCTGAGTGAGCTGAGCTGGGAGGAGGATGGAGATGGAGGAAAGCCCACTGGGTATGTGGGGCCTGTGGGGACTCAGCTGAAAGTCGGAGCAGAACCTCACTAGGTTGGAGAAAGAATGTGGGTGGGGAAAGGGTGGTAAGTGGGGACCACCCCTTAAGGAGGGAGCGGGAGGGAAGGCGAAGAGGGTAGCCGGTGGGCTGCAGGATGAAGGAGAGAGGATTCTGAGCATCTCAGCGAGCCACAGGGACGCAGCTGGCACAGAGGGCAAGCTAGGCCAGAAGTGACTGGAATCAGAAAGGATTTGCTCCTGGCGTGGAAGGTGGAAAGTTGAGAGGACTGTTTGGGGTGGTATCTATGTTTTCTTTTCTTTCTTTTCTTAATTTTGAGTTGGAGTCTCACTCTGTCACCCAGACTGGAGTGAAGTGGCACACTCGTGGCCGCTACAGCCTCGACCTGCTGGGCTCAGGCAGTTCTTCTACCTCAGCCTTCCAAGTAGCTGGAACTACAGGCACACGTCACAAGCCTGGCTAATTTTTTGATTATTGTAGAGACGAGGTCTCACCAAGTTGCCTGGGCTGGTCTTGAGTCCCTGGACTCAAGCAATCCTTTCACCTCGGCCTCCCAAAGTGCTGAGATTACAAGCGTGAGCCACTGTGCCCGGCCCCATGTTTTCAAAAAAGACGGGTGATATTATCCGCTCAGAGTCATGAGGTAGGATTATGTTGCTTTGGGAGAATAGAGACATATGGAAGAGATGCCCAGATGAGTTTGTGCGGGGCCCGAGCCTGTAGGTAGAGGCAACAGGTCACTGAGTGTCCCTGGTGTTGCCTTGGCTTAAGTGTTCGTGTTCGTCCAGCTCTCAGACATCAGAGTGGAGAGTGACAGCCACCTGTGGAGGAGCTGGGGCTGAGTCCAGAGAACTGTTCCAGGTAGAAGCTCAGGGCAGCCATGCCTCCAAAAGTCCAACAGAGAACCACCCTCTGATCCAGCAATCCCACTTCTGGGTATAGACCCCAAAGAAACGAAAGCTAGGACATGAGGAAACATTTGCATGCCCATGTTCATAGCAGCATTATTCACAATAGGCAAGAGGTGGGAATAACCCAAATGTCCATCGACAGACGAATAGATGAACAAAATGTGGTCTATCCATACAACGGAATATGATTCAGCCTTAGAAAGGAAGGAATGGCCGGGCACAGTAGCTCAAGCCTTTAATCCCAGAACTTTGGGAGGCCGAGAAGGGAGGATTGCTTGAGGTTCGAGATCAGCCTAGAAAACACAGTAAGCCTAGGCAGCATAGTGAGACCTCATCACTACAAAAAATTTTTTTAAATGAACTGGGCGTGGTGGTATATGCCTGTAGTCCCAGCTACTCGAGACACTGAGGCAGAAGGATCATCTCAACCCAGGAGCTCGAGGTTATAGTGAGCTGTGATCCATGATCATGCTATCGCACTGACTCCAAAAAAAAAAAAAAAGGAAGGGAATTCTGACACTTGCTGCTACATGAATGAACCCTGAGGACATTATGCTAAGTATATAAACCAGACATAAAAGTCAAACACTGTCTGATTTCACTCATGTGGTCTGTAGAGTAGATTCCTACAGACAGAAAGTGGAATGGTGGTTGCCAGGGGCTGGGGGAGGAGAGAACGAGGAGTTAATGTTTATTTATATTTTTTATTTTTATTTTTTTAAAGACAGAGTCTCACTCTGTCACCCAGGCTATAGTGCAGCGGCATGATCACAGCTCACTATAGCCTAGCACTCCTGGGTTCAAGTGATCCTGCCACCTCAGCCTTCCAAGCAGCTGGGACTACAGGCATGTACCTCCCACCACGCCTGGCTAAATTTTTAATCTTTTTTTGTCACCATGAGGTCCCTCCATGCTGCCCAGGCTGGTCTTGAACTCCTGGGCTCAAGCGATCCTCCCACCTCAGCCTCCCAAAGTGCTAGGATTACAGGTGTGAGCCACCATGCCCGGTGGAGAGTTGAATGGGTGTATGAGTCAACCAGGACTGCCATAGCCAAGTGCCACAGATGGGGGACTTCAACAACAGACATTTATTTCCTCCGTTCTGGAGGCTGTAAGCCCAAGCTCAAGGCTTTGGCAGGCTTGGTTTCCCCTGCATCCTCGAACTCCTAGGTTTGTAGATGGCCGTCTCTTCCCTATGTCCGCACTCAGTCTTCCTTCTATGTCAGGCTCTTCTAATAGGACACCGGTCGATTGGATTAGGGACGACCCTGAGGGCCTCATTTTAACTCAATCACCTTTAAAAGGCCTTGCCTCCAAATCAGACCACATTCTGAGATGCTGAGAGATAGAATCTCAGCATATTAATTTTGGAGACGAAATTCAGTCCATAAAAATTGGTCTAGAGTCTCAGTTTGGGAAGATAAAAAAGTTCTGGAGATGGATAGTGGTGATGGTTGCACGACGATGTAAATGTCCTTAATGCCACAAAAGTGTACGGTTGAAAACGGTTAAAATGGCAAGATTTATGTTATGTGTATTTTACTGCAGTAAAAAGAAAAAAGTTTCAAAGAGAAAAAAAAGGGCCTCAGGAAAACAAGGGAACTGGGGTTAGGGTAGAAGAACCGTTGGGCCTCGTAGGATAGTCAGACAGTAGGGCTGGCAGCTGGAAGGGTGAGTGCATGTGGCCAGGCTCCAGGGAAACGTAGGAACTTGGGACCTGACCACCAGGAAGGTTTCTGAGTTGGCAGTCTGAGTGCCAGTTGCCAGTGGGTTCCAGGTGCTGAGTGAGTGTTGTTACCGTTATGACTGTAATCGCTCCTTCAGGGGTGGCAGGAGACATTTAATGAGTTCTTCAGGCTCTCAGCAGGAAATGTTTGGGCAGATCCTCCTGCTGTGTGGTCCCAGCTCTCCAGAAGATTTCTTTTGAGCAGTTTTCAAGCCATCACAGCTGCTTTCAGCCCAAACGTGAAGCCACAGCCAGTCAGTTGTTTCTATAGCGACTGATGTCCTTCAAAGAGGGAGAAAGTGGAGGGACCCTAAGAAAAGAACAAAGGAGAAAGGAACAGCACAGATATGTGACAGATGAAAAAGCCCAAGAGGGACAGAATGTGACCTAGTTTTATTGCAGCTTCGTTGAGAAGATTTCTGGCAAGCACACTTGACTGTTTGGTTTCATTTTATGTTTGTTGTGTTATCCTCACCTGAAGCTGTAAAGTGAGGGGACAGGATGCAGCGCTTTACTTGGTGAAAAGCCAATATTCAAGCACAGCTGAGAGGGTCAAGGAACGAGGAAAACCCAGGAAAATCCTGAGCCTTCTTAGTCTTACTCCTGGCGAGCTTTGTAGAAAACCAGGTACACTGAGGTTCTCTGTGTGCCTGTCCTTTTTTTAATTCCCTGGAAATTACCCCCAAAGAAAGGTTTGCAGTGTTTATACCCGGGTTAATTGCTTCCTAGCTGTGTGATCTTAGGCAAATTCCTTAACTGTTCTGGGCCTCCATTTCCTAATCCATAAAAAGGAGGGGAGCTGGCTCGATGGCTCAGCCTGTAATCCCACGCCTTTGGGAGGCTGAGGTGAGTGGATGGCCTGAGCCCGCGGGTTTGAG